GTTGGTTTGTGGAGGGGGTAGAGGGCCGAGGGATTTAAGAAACGTGCCCATTGCTTCCACGACCGTGCCACCCGGCGTTCAATTCGAATCGGTGTCTTCCTGGATTGCAAGTCCAGTGTGTGAACCATTACACTGCGGCAACAGCAGTGAGCACTGGCTCAGTCTGCAAGAGCATTTGGAATGCACCATGGCCAAAAAACAGCGGGGGGGGGGGGGGGGTGAATTAATAATTAATACAAAGGCATGCACAGTGACGACATGGGGTGCATTTGTTAAACAGTAACTAGCTGCATTATAGTTGACACATACCACACCTCTATTCAACAATGGGACATGCCTTTTTTTAAAACGGAAAAACGGGTGTATAAGTGGTAATCCCATGTGTTGATGTGATTACACTGAGCACTTTGCAGCTGCTAACAGTGCTACTATATACCTGCAGAAGGCCATGCCTTAGCTGTTCTTGTACAACTAGCTTTTTTCCGGCCCAAGGACGGGTGTTTGTTGCAGTAAATCTGAAATATTCAACAGAAAAATTGTTCAGCTCATGATTATTAATGATGGGGTGGGGGGGTTGCCCCATGTGGAGTGACGTCCCCCGCTAATGGTTATTGTGGAGGGGTGCGGCATGTGGAGTGACGTCACCCGCTAATGGTTATTGGGGAGGGGTGCGGCATGTGGAGTGACGTCACCCGCTAATGGTCATTGGGGAGGGGTGCGGCATGTGGAGTGACGTCACCCGCTAATGGTTATTGGGGAGGGGTGCGGCATGTGGAGTGACGTCCCCCGCTCATGGTTATTGTGGAGGGGTGCGGCATGTGGAGTGACGTCACCCGCTAATGGTCATTGGGGAGGGGTGCGGCATGTGGAGTGACGTCACCCGCTAATGGTCATTGGGGAGGGGTGCGGCATGTGGAGTGACGTCACCCGCTAATGGTTATTGGGGAGGGGTGCAGCAGGCATGTGGAGTGACGTCATCCGCTCATGATTATCAATGAGGGGAGGGGTGCGGCATGTGCAGTGCGCGACCTTCTTGTGCGTTAGTGTACAATTCGATGCGTGCATGAATATTAATGAAGGGGGGGGGCTCTTTTGCAGTGACGTCACGCACGGATGTAACACAGTGCTGTAAAGAAACGTCATATTTGAAGCGATTCTGCGTAATACATAATTTAATTTAGCACGACCTTCCTCTGCGTTGGTCTAAAAATCCACCCACTCATGAATATTAATGAGGGGGGTGGGCCTCATGTGGAGTGACGTCACGCGGGGGGGGTGTGAGCCTCATGTGGAGTGACGTCACGCGCGGGACGGACAGACATTTCTGGGTGATTATAGTAGGTAGCCAAATAAAGTGATGTAATAATACCTACTTCACATACTGCCAAGACTTGCAGGTGAGATTAACATTTTTTTTATTACAGCATAATCAAACCGCAGTGATAGCAGTGGATGTTGTACCAAAATAAATATCTTCGGATGGCTTGCAATACTAATAAAACACTATGCACAGTCCCCTACACATGCTTAAGCATGACTTGCACCGCACTTGTTACTGGGCTTATTTTACCATACCTCACCACCCTGGTCAGTGCAAGTTGTTGAAGTGGGTGGGGTTGAAAGGATCAGTTTCCAGTGACATTAGCCATGTATGAGAACCAAACTCAGGTCACCTGATTCATTGTGCAGTGCGCTAACCACTACTAGCACTGCTCCCACCATGCCTCAATACTTTTTAAAACCACTTTGTGAAATAATAACACGTTTTGTGCACACCGAAGGATATTTGTTTTACCCAGGTGAGCAATAATTTGGAGAGGATGTGTCCATTTAACAACGCAGTCACTGCGTTTGTTTATTGGGCCACAGTCCATGAAGTACACCTGGAATCATAAATGGCCTGTGTTCAGGACTGTTTTGGCAGCTTATTAATTCAAAACGGCACAGCACAGCGATTAGCGTATTGTGGGCTGTGAACCTGATGACCTGAGTTCCATTCCCAACCATGGCTAGCATCAGTGGGGAGTTAAATCAGAGCAGGCCCTGGGGCCCCCTTTTCACCAACCTGATTTTGAACAGCGTGGTGATGTATGCTCAATCAACCACCGCGAATGTCAAAACGTTGGGAGAATTTCATCCAAGCAGTGGTTTGACTATTACATTTTTTAAATTTATGGATTCATGAAAGACTGAAAAGCAGGCACACGAGAAGAGAATTGAATAATGTAATATATTAATCTGCAGTTTCACTTGCCTGTTCAGTGGGCTTGGAGAGTGGAGAATATTAGTGCATATCAGTGTGGAATTACAGTCTTTGCCACACTGCCAAAAATATGGTATGGCTTAAGATTGATAATGAGTGAATGAATTAGAAAATATTTATCCAATATCCTCATGTAAGCCATACAGCAGCTACTGTGTAGTGCCCAGTCTCACATTTCCAGTGGAAACCGGTTAAATTCCCGGTCAGTGGCTACATTCTATGTGAGCGCTTTTTTCATCTCCTTTGGCCCTGGCTTCTCAGCACTGAAAAAAAGTGCAGAGTACAGGAGTCAGTTGGTAGTGCCTGCAGTGCATAGGTTGATGGTTCGAATCCAACAGCTGCCCCAGTTATACCTGCGGGTTTATTCACCGTAAAAAAAATATGCGCAATCTGCTCCACAGAGGATGTTAAAGATCCTGTGATGTCAATGACAAGAGTCGGCCATTGTGTGCCACGGCATCATAGTCCAACTTTTCCAAATTAGAGAAATTACCTGTAAATTACTTAATTTGAATATACAGTACATGGGAAATATCGACCACGACTGGAAAAAAAAATTGGCAGGACCCTTCTGAAAAAGAATGAGACTCAGTGAGGCTCTAAATATTTTGATTCTGAATAATAATAAAAAAAAACCACTTTGCCAAACCCATTTGGCAAGCATGCCTCATGTACAAGGCAGGCTCTCTGCTTAAAAATTGCTTGACAAGTGACAGAGGATAGCCGTTCATATATTTTTCTCACATATGTATTTGTGTCGCCGTCGTAGGGAGTGTTACGATTCGCCCCCCCTCCCTCACAATTTAATAAACTGTCGTGATTCGAGTTCGCGATTCAATTAAAGGGTCGATTCTTGTCCGAACACTGTTGCTGCATGCAGTGACCTCTACTGGTGAGACGGAGTCACGTGAGACTATTGTATTAAACACGGATTATTGTACGATTGTGAGTAAAAGTATCCATATGAAGCGATGAAATTATGTCTTGTTACACCCCTAGTAGTCTTGGTACATTTTCTCCATGTAGCTGCACATGTATGAGTATTGACGGCAGATGTTTGCCCTGATGGAATGTTAGTCGCAAATGTGTATCCCTCATGCAATAATTTGCCTGCCAAAAATCAAACTCTGATCGCTGCTTTATCCAGACGTGTGAAATGTTTCTGTGAGATAATCCCATTATTTACAAATTAGCGTGATGGCAAACCAAAATTATTACAAACGTAGTGTTTTTTATAAGGTGCTACCACAACACTGCATATTGAGGAACAAATATGCTGATTCATACCAGAGTCCTCCAAGAAGTCTCAAACGCATTAGTTTTTACGCTCTTGTTGGCAACAGTTGTATTCACATTCCTCGATTTATCAGTTTAATTAGGACACATTTGTAATTTATTTAGAGTACAGGACTACTATAAAAAAAACCTCATCAACATTATGTCAACAGCATAACAATAATGGACTCTATATCCAGGGAAGCCTCACTGAGTCTCAAGACTCCTTTCCAGGAGAGTCGTGCATTGGGATGTTTGGACAATTCCATGAGTGAGTACTTTGGGCATGATCTCAACTGATTTCACATGACTGTAAGTGGCCAAAACATCAACATTGAGTATGTGCACAGCTGTGTACACTTTATTACTGCGAGCATACAAGGCTCTTCTTCTTTCATTGTTTTCCCCCCATCTACATAATTTAGAAGCCCACCATGACCCCACATGAAATGCCATCACGAGCAGGACATCATGAAGAAATGGAGAAAAAAATGCCTCAATGGGAAGATTTCAGAGACAAATTCTCGATTTACTGCAAAAACAAGCATGTGTGTGATGTACAAACGAGCAGGCACAGTGTAAAGTGACCACTGTCAATACGTTTTCATCCGCAGGTGAATTTAGGTGACATCACTCAGGTGATCCACTTTGAGCTAAAATGAACATTGCCAATGAAGGCTTATAAACAATTTGTATTCATTCACAAAGGGCAACAATAACCTGACAATTCATAATGCACACTCATAGCAAGGAAATCCCAGTGCAGTCATTCTCCAGGATTGCGTAATTCATTTCCCCTTGCCTTGCACTCTTTCAGCCAATGCGATGTGTGCGGTACATGTCCAGGCCCAGCTGTTAATTCTGATCCACTGCTAGATTGGGACCTCGTCGTGCCGAGTGGGTCATAAGGGGGTATTCTGACCATACTTCACCACGGGCGACGAGGTTGGGCAGCAGAGGGCAAGCCCAGCAAATTCCATTTGTTGTACTGTACTGTTCTCCCGCGCCTATGTTCCTCACATTCAATCCGCAGTTTTGCATGGACGTAAAAATTTGACCTTTAATGTAAACGAGTTCAATGCATATACTGTACAACTTTTTTGACTTTTGAAGGGTTGTTTTTCACTCGACTCAAGTGCCAAAGTGGTGAATTACCCCTGTTTCGTGAGTCAAATACAAACATTTCATTTGTAACCCTATAAAAAAAAAGCGCCACATTTACCAGGCCCACAGAGCGAAACGAAATCTCTAAATCCAACTCAGTCAACTTCTTTGCACACTTTCCCTCTCTCTCTTTGCTGCGAAGACCGAAACGTCCGATTTCTCGCGAACACGTGGAGGTGAGTGCTTGCTGATGCGTGCGCGTCTGCGTCGATGTTGAGAAGCCCTTAGGGCACATCACGGGTGCTGGCGGTGTGGACATGGAGAGGGGGGGGGGGTGGAGGCATGTGTCGGTACTCACTTTCTTGCGAGTGAAGCGATGCCTGAGCCTTGTCTCTGAGCCCCTAAATACATCTGTAGGCATTTGTCCCCGTTGCGGAGAGCGGGCCGGCAGGAGAACACGGCTTCACGGGAGCGGACGGGGCTGCGCGAACATGGGGGCCCGGCCTCCTCCTGCAGCTGCTGCCCCCAACAGCCCGGGCCAGCGATGCCGAGGAGGTGACAGTCCTCGTCCCCCCGTGCCCCGTGGAGGCCTCCTCCTGTCCCCCTCGTTCCACGCGCAGCCCCCCGCGACCACGACTGCTGCCCTGGCTGCAGGGATCCCACACGCTGTGGGGGGGTGGTGGGGGGTGGGGGGTCTGCTGTTGCTGCAGATGATGATGAAACTAATGTGAATGGCAATTGAAGATGCTGCTGCTGTGACTTGCTGATGATGATACTACTACTGTGAATGACAATTGAAGATGTTGCTGCTGCGACTTGCTGATGATGATGCTACTGCAGGTTGACACTGATGATGCTGCTGCTATTACTACTGATGATGATACTACTGTGAATGACAATTGAAGATGCTGCTGCTATTACTACTGATGATGATACTACTACTGTGAATGACAATTGAAGATGCTGCTGCTACTGATAATACTACGGGTTGACACTTAGAATGCTGCTGCTATTACTATACTGATGGTGATTATGAAACTACTCCTATGAGTGGCAACTAAATATTCTGCTGCTGCTACTACTGATGATGCTGCTGCTACTACTGATGCTGTCCACACCTCCCTGAAGCCTAGCACCTACACCTACACGTTACTTACTAACTACAGGTTTGTCGATTTAGCATCTATTGGGTTGCTTCGCAGGTAGATACGGACCGACTTAAATCGATAAAGCACCTCTACCGTACAGAGATCGGCTTAGCGTTTAAACCGATATACTTAGCAGGTCCTCCCAGACTTTACACTTAAATACATAGACTGACTTAGCAGCTAGACAGAATTAGCACCTACACATGCTAAACAGCTGCGCGTATCCCAACAGGTCAGCGAGTACACAAAAAGATACAAATGGCAGAAAGTGTTAACACCTATCCCAAGCTACGTAGACTACAAGCATGTGCACGTATGGGCTCGAGTCCTGGTTAGCATGATCTCAGGGCCAGCCACGGCGACTGATGAACACAGGACCGGCTTAGCAAGCACAGGTCAAGAGCCTCGGACGCATAGTCAAACGCAAGAGTTGGTAATCACACCCGGCTATTACTCAGCAGACGAAAGCTTCAACAATCCCGCACGCATAATGAATCGTCAACGACGGTGCCTGTGATCATGCAATTAACGTGCAGTGCGAATTCGTCAAATGATCACACACAGACCAAGCATGCACGACTGCCCTACAGTACCTGATAAGCTACAGCCAGCCAATGTCTACGACTACTACTGCTGCCCCTGTCGCATACGGCACTTGACATGAACTTAAGTGACTACTCCGGCTTGTCTCTAACCGAGCACACGCGAGCCACCCATTCACAAAGTTTCGCAGTCTCTGTCACCCAATGAGACGTTAACAGCACGTGGCAGAGACGAGGCAGAGGGCAGAGCAAGCGGTTGCTCGACGCAACTCAATCAACACGCGCGCACGCCTTCGCATCAGTGACAACCTCTGCCTTCACTCGTGATGGTCAACGCTGAAGTGCGCGTTCCGCGGTGAGCCAGAGAGACAGACGACTTGTCAAGAAGCCTTCCCGCAGCGATTACATAAAGCAGCAGCCGGCGTTTCAATAGGACGTGGGGCACGCCTGTTTACTGTATTCTCGGAACTCACAGGGACGGGACGCCTCTTATATATGACAAATCGCACTGAAACAACTGGATGATGACGATGATGATGATGGTGATGATTGTGGCTACTGCTGCTTGTTGTGGGTGCACGGCTTACTCCCGCTATCGGCGCAGCAGAAGCGGCAGCGCCTGCAGCAGCAGAGATGATGATATGCCGCCTCCGACAACGCACACGCACAGCACACAGCACACACAGAGAGGCGGCAGCCCTGCTCGCTGGACTCACGCACACTCGCGACGCTGCTGCTGGAGACTACAAATGTTGTCAAAACTGCAGCCCCCGCCGCTCATTTGCCACGGCAGGAAGGAGAGAGAGAGGAGAGGCTCTCCACACACCCCCCTCCTCCCCCCCAAAAAGTTGCGTTTTACAAGGCGGGGACGGGACAGATCTGGAGCCTGCAGCACGGGTGGTGTCCGGTTACAGGCAAACCCACCCACCCACTCACCAGCCACCAGCAGCCTTCACTCCCACCCCACAGCCACACTCTCTTAACCCCAGCATGCCCTCCATGGCCCCCCTCCTCCTCCTCCCTGCCTCCCTGCTCCCTCCCTCCAAGCGTGCTCGCTCCCTCCCTCCCTCCATCATCTCCTCCTCCTCCCTGCCCCGAATCTCTTTGGTCTTTTAGCTGACCAAAATCCAAGTTCCTCGTGGGTGAACCACTCACCCACCCCCCTCCTCCCCCCCGACTGCAATTCGTCGTAAATATATCTTCAGATAATACTGCCACGCTATGGTATATTTCTATAACTGCTAAGCATATATAGCGTGCTGTGGTACGTAATTACAACCCCTATTGGTCAATCCACTGCTGGACAATGGCATTTGGTGATTATTTGGCCCAGACTGCACCATGATAATGTGGCTTGCACGCAAGGGACCAGTCGCAGGTCGTGTTTAATGTTACACTTGAACAGCGTCGATGTTATTACATCACCCCTCTTGCAGGGCAGCTAACAAATGCGTTGCATCGATTCGCAAGCACGTCGGGTAGAGATCTGTAACTGTTGGACGCCAAAGATAAATTATTCCGGCTGTTTATAGCAGTTGGCGAGTGATGTTGTAATGGCGTTATCCATGACACTGTTTTGTCCGATCTGCTTGTGTACAAATTGTACCGTGGAGTTTACACATATAAGCTGGCTTTGTGGGAAAAAACGCACAGCTTGAATAACAGTGTACAATTATTACGTAACAGGGTCTGTCCGTATCAGTAATTCTTTCTTTGCCAGGAAGAACATCAATTCCTTCTAGATTTGAAGTTTTCGTGACTGCAAGGATTCATACTCTTAGTTCTTTCGGTAAAGTCACGTGGGTAAAAAAATGAAATTAAAATTAATAAAATTAAAATAATAAAATCACGACGTTTCGGAGGCAACACAAGTCTCCGTCATCAGGTGGGACCGTCACAGCCAGATTTGCCGCATCAATTCCTGTTTAATCGCGCAGCTGTAATTCCATCTCCCCGCTCGAGATCTTCCGCTTTACCTCTGTGACTCTCTCTCTTCCCCATCCAGTTCATTGTCCACTTGCTACTCCCCGATGGCATCTTGAGATGCGTTTGCGTGTCGACGGTTTATACCAATACAAATTGTGCTGTGTACAGGTGAGAAGGCAAAGATGCGGCCCTGTAAACGTTTGCGCACGCTTCTGCTGGCGGAAGAGCCTCCACTTGAGCTCTCGAGAGCTTAAGTGGAGGCTCTCGAGGGCATTTGACCTACTCTTCCACGCCGGTTAGATGTCATGGAAGAAGAGGTCTGAGAACATACATTTTACCCCACCACACGCGATCAGCCGATCAACTAACCATAGTGTACCCCTTTATACTGCTGGGTGGACAGAGGCGGGGATATTTGAGAAACTTGGCTCATTTTTACTACTGCCACGCCAAGGGCTCTGAATTAAAGTGCCCCAGTGTGCTGACCATCCCACCACGGCCGGTTCCAAGTTTTGTGTGTATAGTACCGCACTTGCGAAACCTGCGTGCAGCACTCTGTGACTTTGAAATTGTCTCTGGAGCTCTCCCTCCTCGTCAGCCACGTGATTAAGCACGAATTTATATTGGGCAACCTTGCACGTTTTTTGTAAGGCTCGTGTTACTTTTTTGCAGGTGGCTAATTTGGCCAATATCAAATGCCAACAATAGGCATGCTTGTGCCATGAATGTTGGCAGATCATTAATGCACTGTGGTTTGGTGGTAGATGGGGGAGCAGGCTAAAATGTCTCTTCTAAAGGACGGTATGCGCTGTGCAGGATAGTTCCACGATATCGCAAATTAAGAACATAAAAGAGTACTTGTGGAATTTCGATTTAAAGCTTTCGTGACTGCAGGGATTCATCTTCTTGGTTCTTTCGGTAAAGTCACGTAGAAGGGAAATAATAAAATAGTAAATAATAAAACATAATAAAATAATTCTCACGACGTTTCGGCCACAACGCAAGCAGCCCTCCTCAGGTGAAGAACAGGTCTGTCGGTTAAATGTCATGGAAAGACAGACCTGTTCTTCACCTGAGGACGGCTGCTTGCGTTGTGGCCGAAACGGCGTGAGAATTATTTCATTATGTTTTATTTTTATTATTTCCCTTCTACGTGACTATACCGAAAGAACCAAGAAGATGAATACTTGTGGAATGTTTAAGAGTATCGTTTGTACCCTACAGAGACGTAAGTCTATTTACAAAATAGTTCTTAGCGCGAGGGATCGGCAACCTGCGGCTCCAGAGCCGCATGCGGCTCTTCATGGGTTGCTTCGTGACGTCGTTTATTCAGGGCCCACCGTATCGAATTCCCATGAGCAATTGCGGTTCTTGAAATATTGATTTTTTTTTTATAGAATTCGAAATGGCTCTTCTTGCTACTTGTGTTGCCAATCCCTGCCCTAGAACATGTGCGTCATGTAATTATTTGAACGAAAGATATCTGAATGCATCTTGAACTCAGACTCTGTCTTCTCGACAGACCTGTTCTCCACCTGAGGACGGCTGCTTGCGTTGTGGCCGAAACGTCGTGAGAATTATTTTATTACGTTTTATTTTTATTATTTTATTATTTACATTCTACGTGACTTTACCGAAAGAACCAAGAAGATGAATCCCTGCAGTCACGAAAGCTTTAAATCGAAATTTAAGTTGTGCATGGTAACCAAAAGCCAGAATACAGTAATTATCTGTCGAATGACTTGGAGACCCTGCTCTTTTTCATGGTGAATATCAGGTATATATAAAAACGTCATCTATGATCTGAGTAAATAATGTAAGCAAACGGATTTCTACGAATGAAATCAGTGATCAACGTAAGCTATAGCTCTTTGGATTAGTTATGCATGTTGTTACTCCCCCTCACCCCAATATCACACGACATGCAATCTAGTCCTCAGTAATGTTGTGCCCTTCGTACAACTATATAGTCATGTGGTTCGGTTTATATGTGCCTGGGTTTTGATCAAGTCGGTATGTAAAGCCCTAAATACCGTGCTCACCTCGAATTGGAATTCGATACGTGTCAAAGACATCATTTTCATAACGTATTTCCAATCTGATCTCGTTTTTTCTGCTCTGGCTCTTGCTTTCTCGCATATTTTGATAACCTTATGCGACAAGGCCACTGTTGATGTAATGCGCGCTTGTATGTAACGCATGCGGTTGTGTGTTTTGCTTCACGCATATAGCGCATATGTTGATTTGATGCAGCTGGGAACACTTTGATTTGGGTTGGAAGGCCTTGGTATGCACTTCTGGGACCATTGAAAATTAAATAATTTTCTTTCGGACACATCAGCACATGTTGTATATAGTGTTTATACATACTGTAAGTAGACACGTACTTCAAGTACCGTATGGCCGCTAACAAAATGTAACATTTAATAGTTTGTATTAGTTTACAGTTCACCATGCTGGTCAGTACTGGTTGGTGAAGGGATCCGAGGACCAGTTTGATGTTAATCACGGCCGGGAAGAAAACCTCAGTGGCCAGGTTTACAGCGCAATGCATTAACCACTGCATTGCACAATGTCACATACTGTTGATTAGCATGTACGCATTCAGTTGGATAGAACATTTGAACGTTGTTTTCATTCATCCAAGCGTATTCACTGAAAGCACACAACTTATTTTCACCATTTTAAATTAGCATTCAACAATTTATAATCAGCATGACCAGATTTGTGACGCTTGCCTTTTTTTACCAAAACAATTGTTGCGTAACAATAAATATTTGTTCAATCCTGAAGCAACTTTATCAGGGGAAAACAAAATCTGTTTTCTTGTAAAAAACGAATAAAAAATTCTTGAAAATAAGCAACACATGAGTGCAAACTCCATCTCGGCACCGAATGAAAAGTGAGCAAACATTTAGGATTCCGTTTTTAACGTAAGTCAAATTTGGGAGTTCAGATGAAGATGATCTAGTGAAGTAGGAAGTGCTAGTCCCAAGGGGAATGCGGCTCTCGCTAAATTCTTGTGAAAATACATCAGCACACTGCTACAAGCAGAGCACAACTGTCAAGTTTTAAAACAGGCTGCTGTGAAAATAAATAAATAAGAATCTCATTCAAATAACTTGACACAACTAATCGATGTCACTAGATTTCTCGCTGGCTAGCCTAGGCACGTGTTTAAACTTGGTTTTGCTGAAATGTAGTACATTTAACGGTGTGCACCTGCAATCATTTCTTCCCCCCCACGCTGGCTCCACCGTATTTGACAGTAAAACATTCCATGTTTTAAGTATCCCAGCATGCCCCTGTGTGAATTAGTGAACAAACACCCTGAGGAATGTAGCGGCAAACATGTGCTTTAATAGTGTGTACAAATCCCAGCATGCATTCTGATTGGTGCCTGGGCTGGCAGTGTTCAGAGAAATTATCTGAACAGCAGCAGTGTGGAGAAAAAAACCGCGATTTTCCATTTGACTTTGCTTAAATCCCATTTGACAGAATGTTTAAATGAAAGGAGTACCTGGGTCTGCTTGCAGCTTCTTATAGATATTTCCACGTGATAACCTAAGAGCAATGAAGCAAAGCTAAATAGTACTCTCCTGCGCTTATACTACTGAAGGCTGCAGGAGAGCTGTGCTTGTCGACAAATGCTCACTCAATGCAGTACAGCCTCAGGCCAATAACGTATTTTTCTTGGCCTTCAGCCACCTGGTGGTGCAATAAAGAATGTATTATTTCATGCCGCTTTAATTTTGGGTAAACGTGAGGATAGGGCCTTCGCTTAGGGTTCAGAATCCCTTTAACGTTTCTGTTTGGGCAGCTGAGAAACCTTCGGCCCAGAAGACACTCATTTATGGCAATTACTAAGATTGGCACCAC